TTACCATTTAGATCATATATTTTCTTACTATTTCAATACTCTTTTATATTCATCCCTGATTATCAATCTTTATCGCATCTTCACAACTCTTATAATCCATATGAACTACCCAAAATCTTGTTATTATACCAAATCCTTATTTTATGCCATACTTGATTAATTTACCCTGACATTATCTTCTAATCCTTTAACTCAATTACACTTATTATTACATAACTTCGTTAATCAAGACCAGTTCTTTCAATGTGGATTGTAAACATTCATCGAACCAATTGTGTACATTCCTTTCAATTAGAATTAATCCCTCAATAATTAACTTAACTTAACAAATTCACATCTTTCCTCATACTCTATGCAATTTCCTTTGCTTAACTCAACATTCCAACTTCCTTTGTCTTGTAAACTAATCACCGATGTACACATTCTTAAACTCTTTCAAAATAATATCCAAGTTATTTGATCCATTTTAAAGACATTTTCTTCTTTAATTAACATAATTTCTAACATAACTCTTAATCCATTATTCCACCTTCATATTTTTCTTAATATCATTCTTCAACTTCTTATTTAATTTTCCCAGTACCAGACTCTATTGTTTTAATGGGTCTGACTTTTGTCAGATTTGATCCTTTGACATGAAATACAACTAATTTAAACCGAGTCTATTGTTGAAATCATAATCTCTATCTCTCTTCGATATTGTTGATTTCTGTGAGATACGAATTCTCTTAATCCTTTTGAGATCTCTCTAGATCTTTAACACAATTTACCACTTCTTGAAAAGAACAATTTCAACACCAATAATATTCTTTTAGTCTAGGCACAAGCCCTTCATACCTCACTTACATACATCATTTTCCTTAAACATACAAATCCTTATTTTCTTCACTACGTCACATTTACATAATCGAGATACACAACTATATCCATATTCATTTCATATTTGGTTAATTTATCCGGATAATATCTTCAAATCTTTTAACTCCAATACATTTTCCATCGCATAATCTTGTTAGCCGACATTAACTTTTTCCATCTAGAATGCAAACCCTTATCGTATCCATACTCTTGCTTAAATATAGTACTATCCTTTTGTCTCAAATTCATAAACTCTGTCTCCATATAACTTATACACTTGTCAGTGATGCATTTATTCTTGAACTCTTATACAAATACTCACCACATCCTTTGATCTTTTTATCATTCTTATGGTGATACTTGTTCACCATATTCTATCTTATCCATGTACTAACAAAACTAATCCATATCGCCTTTCTGATTCAAAACAATGAAGATCTTCTATCACTATTCTAATATATGATTTCAATTTTCTGAAATCAACTTTTGATCTTGCGAGACACTTCCTGAGGTGTCCGCTCTTCATCCTGCCTGGCCAGGGCAGGTGAATAACTATCACAGTCAGGAATATCGCCTTTCACTATACTTCAAAATTATTATAATCATACTTCTATTATAACTTAGCAATCTAATTTTATTAGCAAGACAACACATTCCTTACACTATCAGATCAGAAATTTTCACTCTATGTTGGCATGTACATATTTTTAAAACTTTTTTACCTTCGGTTTAAGCCTAGAATCGGCTAAACCTTAGCTCTTATACCATTAAATATAACACCCCAACCCGTATCCGACTCGGATCCGAGTCCGAGGTGTCACATCAACTTTCAAAACCTTTACTTGTGCAAAATAATAAAAAATTTCCATTAAAAGAAAACTTCATATAATTTCAAAATAAAGGTTTACAAACTTATCAGAGCAGATACAATTCAAATCTAATAGTACGTGCCAACTATATTAAAAGGAACCAAAGTACATATTAATTATTATTTTTCTGATCTGAATTTAGCAAGGAAGATGACTGACCTGTCTTGCTCCTTTTAGCTTATATTCTCGCTTTCCAACCTACGTGTGAAACATTCACACGCTAAGTCGAAGACTTAGTGAGGCATAAAACATGTATAATCTGAACTTCCTATATTCCATAATGCATGAACATTTCACAATTCATATAAACATATATATCGCAACATCATATATCAATTTAGACAACCAATTTATACATGTACACATATCATCATATCATATAGAATAATATACTGTTTCATGTGCATATAATCATTTATTTTACCTCACTTAACTTATTACAATCTCCTGTTATCCTTTGAATCATCCCTTTTTTTATAATTCTTAATCATAAAATCTCTTTACCATAGTCATATGTCTTATCTAGTATTTCCATAAGCCTCTATTTACCATTTTACCTATAGACTCTTGTTACATATTCTATTTCCATATTCTTGTGTACTAATTATTTATATTCTATTAGTTCATTTTCCACATAATTTGCCACATAAACACATTATCATACTTATCACAACTTAACTCCTATAATATTCTCATATGACTTCATTTCCTAGATCTTTGTACTATATTTTATATCACTTAAGAATTAAACCAGCTTTAGATCATCATTTCATTAAAACATATGGGATTTCCTATACAACTTATTTCTATACATATTTCCTATTTGATGTATTATTTATTTATCTCAATTAATTTATCTATATTCTCATTTCCTAGTATAATTTTATTATACTAGTTCACCTACAAAGTACATTCTCACCATACGATCATAATTATTCTATTCATATAATCCTATAATCTATCATTTTATTTCATATACCTATACTTATGGAATTCATAACGTTTCTCATGTAATTACTTGAAACATATCACAAAAGTTCATTATGGTCTCTTATATTCCAACATATCAAACAAACATCATTTTTAACATAGATAATAACATATGCAATACATGCAATCAATACACTCATATTCAAATACACAATTACATAACAATCATATCAAATTTATAATATTTATTAACTTCTTATTAGCCCATGTACATATTTGAGAATCTGAGGTACGCGAGTACATTGAGGTTGTACACTAATGCTGTTACCACAGCTCGAATAAATTCCCACTAGGGGCACTGAAAATTTGTCTCGAAGGACCACTATGTCCCAAAGGACCACTGATAATCCCTCGACTCTTGGCATGCCAATTATACCTACAGCTCTCAATTCACATAACATGGGCATTATCTTTTAGGATAATTCATTTCACTTATTTCACATAACATTCTCACATGCACTTGTAATCACTTAACTTATTTTCACATAACTCATGTCACATATTCATATCACTTAAGCACATAGTTCATTTCCATTTAATTCATATTCCTCATATAATCGCATAAATCAATTCACATAATCTCTGATGTTCCTATCATATAATTTATATAATCACATGTATTATTTATATTAATTCACATGATTTATTACACTAACATGTATTCACACATATCATATAACATAAGCAATAACTAAATGCACACATATTAGGTCAAATCCATGCTCATATTAATGCATTCATGCATTCTACTATAGGAAATAGACTGGTCACAAGTCTTATTCCCATTAAAATATCCTATAATAACTAGTATGCACTCACCTTAGCCTTGTTTGCTTTGACTCGATCCTAATCCTTCGATTTTTATGGAACAAGATTATGTTCTATATCTACATAGTAATATATTGTTACATATCAGTATACTAATTGATATATTCTAAACTATCACTCCTTAAAAAGAAAGCTATTTTCATCTATTAATGAAGGTATGCATTGATACACTCTACAGTGTATCGATGCATTCCTTAATGTGTGCATCGGTACAAAAATCACTTTTGATATTTTAATCTTAAGAGGGTGCATCGATGCACTCCTCATGCATCGATGCACTAATTACATTCGATGTTCATTTATTTAAGAGTGCATCGATACACATTGAAGATGCATCGATGCACACAACCTAGAAATTCCATTTTAAGCATGAAATTCACTCTCTTTTCATCTCAACTCTTCATCTTTCACCTCCTTTAATATTCCTAACTTTCATACACACACTTAAACTCATTAATACTCAATAATCACTTCTTTAAACTCAACATCCTATCCTTTATATGGCATTCAAGAATCACACTCAATTTCCAATATGTTCTATGTAACATCCTCAATACCGGGTTAGTGATCAAATTGTAAAGTTTCAGAATTTGGTAACTAAAGAAGAACAATGTATTAGTTCAATGATTTATTTGGAAATAAATCCTAAAAGTTGTTAGTAATTATTAGATGAATTAGAGGGCAAAATGGTCATTTGAATTGGAAAGGATAAGATAATGATTTATATGAGATAAGCTTGAGAGATTTCTCCATAAACTCTCTTTTCTTCTTCTTCTTCCTTTCCTCCCGTGTCTCTATAGAAAAGGTAAGTTTTCTGATTAGTTGAGTTTACATGAACAGATGAGGAATGATATAAGCCATATGAAATGATCTACGTGAATATATGCACTTGTGATACATGTGATATGATATGAAATATATAGTTACACATACATGTGGTATGTGATAGAAGAGAAAGAACAAGTGATATGAAAGGTATAAATGATAATGCCCATGTTATATGATAGGAGAACTAGTGGTATAGTTGGCATGCCAAGAGTCGAGGGTATATTAGTCCTTCGGGACGTATCCAGTGGTCCTTCGGGATGTATCCAGTGGTCCTTCGGGATGTATCCAGTGGTCCTTCGGGACATATCCAGTGGTCCTTCGGGACGTATCCAGTGATCTTTCGGGACGTATCCAGTGGTCCTTCAGGACATAATAGTCCTTCGGGACGAATACTGAACAAATGTTTGGTGCCCCATGAGGGAATTTATATGAGCTGTGGTGACAGCATTAGTGCACAACCTCAATGTACTCACATACCTTAAGTTCTCACAGGTGTATATGGGCTAATAAAAAGACAATAACAAATTCAATACATATGATGTATATACTTTTGGTGATATGAAATATGTTCCATGAATTATATGATATTATGTATGTTTAGTTGTGAAATGATAAATACAAGATCATATGATAAATAGAGATTTCGATACTGATGGTATATGTATATGTATGTATTTTGATATATGAAATGTACTATGATTTTTATTATATGTTTTATTTAAATGTAACACCCCCAACCCGTACCCGATCCGGGTACGAATCCGAGGTGTCACATTGACTTTTCAAAACCGGTACTTGTACAAACTAGTGAATACTTTTAAAACTTTTATTAAAATTACTGACTAGATTACATAAAAGATATTCATATGCTTTTAGAAAAACTAATTAGAGTATATCAAATTCAAATCTTTATTTACATGCCAACTACCATTCGTATTATAAAATACATATTATATAATGAGAAGATTCAAATTATGCTCGAATCAACTTGGTAAGTCAGATGCTGTGGTTCTTAATGCTTACATTTCAAATAAAATCAGAACGCTTATGCAGTTACGAGGTTCAGAAACAAGCAATTGCCCAACTAGTTTTAACTACTAATTTAGAAAGGTTGACCTAATCATATGTAATTGCTTTTAAAATATATATCAAGTGTTAATTTAGAAGGAAAAAAAAAACTGGTGAGGCTAGTGCTTTACTCAGTTGAGTAAGGGGGTCGCAAGTACAATTCTTTGTTTTGGAGTTGATGAGAGTGTATGAGTGTGTAGAGTGGTGGTGACTTCAGTTGGTGATAAACGGTTTGGTATTCTTATGTGTATTTTTCTTGCAGCATACATGAAACCAGAAGATATGAATTACCATTCAGTTTGCTTGCATGTCCTAGCAGATTCTATTCACAGGTGTGACAGCTGTTCTCTCTCACTATTCATGCATGATTTCTTTCTTTCATCATTTGCCACCGTCTTAATCATCTGTACATTTTTTCCACTATGCATGATTTCTTTCTCACTATTCATGCATGATTTCTTTCTTTCATCATTTGCCACTGTCTTAATCATCTGTACATTTTTTCCCCTCAGTTCAGGTTTGATATTGGCATCCTGGTTTCTCTCTCTTGGGTAATTTCTTGCTTCAATTTCAATTAACTGCTGGTGAAAGAACAAGCTAGATGTCAACTATCCTGCACCTTCGAACAAAAACATGGCATGTTCCTCCGATTTCACCCTTATTCTTTCTTCATTTTGTCTTTAACTTTTCTTTCCATTCTTGCAGGGTTAATAATGCAGAAGTTTTATGCTTGGGATTAGTTTCGGTTGCAGTCTTTATGCTTGTTATGTCTCTATTTAAAGCTACTGGTGGCATCTTGCTTCAGTCGGCACCACCGAATATTTCGTCTTCAGCCTTGCACAAATGCTGGCGACAGGTGGTTGCCTTTACCTTCGTGATTTTTATGCAATTTTTTTGTCGAATTTATGCATCTTTCTTTTCTGACTTATAATTAAATTGTCTATCTTGTTTAGATTGTTTCTCTTGAAGATGCTACAGAAGTTTCTCAAGCTCGGTTTTGGGAACTAGTGCATGGTCATGTTGTTGGATCCCTTTCACTTCTGGTATTTTACTGTAACATTAATCCCGTGCCCTTTCGAAATGTTTTTATCCATTGTTGGATGTTTAATGCTGGATTTGTTACCGATATTTGAACAGGTGAAGAAAGAGATGGACGACCGGCGTACACTAGGGTATGTGCATGGTTTGTACAATGACTTGGGAATACATGATTTGACAGTGCAAACTGATTATGTATGGTCATCATCATCCCCTTTGCTCTTTTTCATTTTTCATTGTATTTATGAGATTGGTTCTAGGGAAAGAACCTTGTGTTGTAGTCATTTTGTCATCTCAAATGGATACACTATGACTAGGGGTGAATTTTGAAGCTACGGCTTCGGTCAAATTGACCATTCAAAGAATAATCAATTTATGTTATTTCTCTAATTAAGAAAATTTTGGGGTCAGTGAGTACTGATAAATTTATTGACGATCCCGAGGACCATTCGAAATGTATGGCCATCGATATCGTAGTGGATATTTTTAAGCTGAAAGAGGAATTGAATGTAATAAGAGTGCAGCCAAATCTTCATGCAAACAATGCCTGCCCTTGGAGGAAAGTTAACCCTCAAAATGCCCATACGAGAACTTTGTAGATATTTTTGTACATGTTTAATGGTTAATATACGTGACTAGTTAAAAACACACAACTTTATTTAAAATCTTAGTAGAAAAAATTGTGAAAAATCAGCCACCTATTCAAAAATGTGTGATTGAATTGTACTGATTTTTCTCAAGAGTAAACTATATCTATGATCACTTTTTTTTTACCATAGATCTTTCGATTTTATCAATCAGATCATTTAACTATTTAGTTATTGCAATCAAATCATTGACCGATAACATTTAACGGATGAGGTAACGTTGTTGTTAAAAATATTAGTGTAATTATACACATGTTCCTTAATATTTACATATTCTATTAATTTGATCATAATTTTAATTTAATTTAATAAATTTAACATATCAACTTGGTCATAATTTTAATTCAATTTTGATGATATAACGTTACAAAAATATTTAACTTTTTAATTTTTTTATTAATATGGGATAAGTACAAGGTGATATATATTCAAAGATAGCTCTAAACCATTTGAGGTTGAACACTCACACTCCTGACATTCAATAAAGATATTTTTAAAAATAATCTAAATTTTTAAAAATATTTTTCAATTCTTATTTTCATTTTTATGTGTTGAAATCTAGGGGGAAACTAGAAAATATAGAAAAAGTATTAAAAATTATCAAATATTTGCTAAAATAATAATTTTTTATATATATATTTTTGGATCTTCTTACATCATTTACATTCTTTTAGAGTTTTTAGATTATTTTTACATGTGATCTAATGTGAATATTTCATATCGTTGATTAACAGGTGATTGTTCCAATCCAAAGTAATTCTAAAATAATTCTTACTTCTTACATATGTCCATGCAAGCGAAAGGAAAATAAATGAACATGTGCATAAATTACAAGTCAAGGAGACATTTATATTTTATATAATCCAATAATAAGAACAAAATGAAAAACATTTATATTCACATGATCACCCATCAACAAAGAAGAGAAAAGTGAATTGAACAACTTTAATATACTTATAATCTTGACTCGAATTTGACCTCAAACGAAAACAATCCAAGATCGAATGCTTCATCTTCCGTCGACCTCAGAGAAAGTACTGAATTGAGTACTTGTGAGAGAGTAATCTGAGTGGCTGAAAGCAGGGGGCAGTGCAGGCCACACAAATGAAGGCCTTTCCAGTGGCACCTGTGGTGGATCAGCTTCCCCTGTAAGAACCGCCAAAACATGCTTCATCGAAGGCCTCAAATGTGGGTTCGGATGGCAACAAGCTAAACCCAAAATAAGTGCAGATTCCACTTCTTTCTCCACAAAATCTCCCTTCAAATTTGAATCCACAGCATATGTAATCTTTCCTTTCCTGTAATATTCCCATAACCAATTCACAATACTATTGTTATAGTTATTCAACTCACTCTGGTTACCAAGCTTTCTTCCACACACAACTTCAATGAGGAGGACACCATACGAATAAACATCGGTTTCAACCATCGCCCGACTAATAAGAAACGTCTCCGGTGCCATATAACCCGGCGTTCCGGCTATCTCAATCGTCGAATGATGTGTTTTCTCTCTTTGTTGGATCGTTCTTGCCAATCCGAAATCTCCTAATCTAGCATTGAACTCCGAATCCAGCATTATGTTGCTACACTTTACGTCCCTATGAAGCACCCTTTTCTCACATCCATTGTGGAGATAATCAAGTGCCTCGGCCACACCTTGTATGATAATCAGCCTAGTTTCCCAGCTTAGATTTGGTTGTCTGGGCTCATCGTTTTTGCCTGTTTTCTCGTCGTAGAATATGAACTTGTCGAGGCTTCCATTCAGCATGTACTCGTACACGAGGAGGAGCTCTTTGTTCTCGTAGCACCATCCGATTAGCTTCACGAGGTTTTTGTGGTTTAAGTTGCCGATAGTTGTGACTTCGGCTATGAATTCTTGGCTCCCTTGATGTGATTTCTTCGACACTCTTTTGACAGCGATTTCTTGTTCTTTCCAAATCCCTTTATAAACCGTCCCGAATCCGCCTTTGCCAAGCTTGTTTTTTTGGTTAAAATTGTTTGTTGCTCTCTTCAGTTCTCTCAGTTTGAATCTTCTTGGAGCAGTGGAGCTCTTAATATGATCTTCTATATTTTGAAACCCCTTTTCAGGATCATCCTTTCTGGTTCTTCTTCTCCAATGAATGAAAAAACCAAGCCCCAAAACCAAACCCAGAGCGAGAATCGGGATAAAAATCCAAACCCGCAACAGATTTGAATCTTCATCGATGTCTTCGCCGTGAAATTCCCAAGCTCTCACGCAGTTCAACTCTTGGAATTCTCCAGTTGAAGCTGAGAATCCTACATGGACAGTTTCTGGAAGAAACCGGGAGAGATTGATAGGCACTGAGAATACTGGAACTGGACTCCTTGGGGTCTGGTTTCTGCTGGAAACGAAAACAGTCATGTTTTTGCCATCGTACTGAACAACGGCCAGCACATCGACGCCCACGGAAAGATTAACGCCGTACCCACTCAACGATCGTTGCTCGATTGAATAACAGCTATTGATATCCAAGCCGACATGGTTGCCGTCAGGTTCTTGTTCATAACTCTTCCTGGTGTCGAACTCCACGCCGACGATCCCTGCTCGAGAGGTTCCATTGGTGGTTGCATTGACAAGGCCGAGCCATTGGCCGAAGCTGTCGTTTGGGACATCGGCATCTGCACTAAGCACAAAAGCTAAACCTTCCCCGACTTCCGGTGAGTTTTTGTTACTGATATTAATGACGAAAGTTGTATTGAAAGACGCTAATCTTCCTTTCTTTCTATTCCATAGCCTGAATTTCTTCCCGTAATATGCCCTTCCCGGCGTATCTTTAACGTCTCCGTTGAGATCGGGTGTAATTTGGAGGGCATTTCTGAAAATAGTGGAGTTCTCACTCAGCAACAGATCTTTTCTATTTTCTTCCTGGAAATCTGTGAAGTTGAAATCAAAACACTCAACTTTGATGCAAGAAAGGACGATTAAGATGGGTAAAAGGTTGAGTGCAGGCAAAGTAGCCATGTAACGAATGAGCGCAGGAAATAGAAGTGTTGGGAATTAATGGACGATTTTGGTTAATCTGAGGGATGAAGATGTTCTACTCATAGAAGACAAGACAGTGTGTTCTCAGAAATGTAATGGAAGTTTGGGATTCTGCAACTGTAAGGAAGCTACTTGGTAATTGGTATGTCTGCTGTGTTCAACCAGGAAGATAAAATACTCTCTCTATTTCTCTTTTTTTGGTTTAAACCAAAAAGAGCAAATAAAGATACGTTTAATATTATTCTATTTTAAATTATTTTCTAAAAATAATTATCCTTTTATATTATTAAAATCATTAATTAAATTTAATAAATTAATACATTTGACGTGTAAATACTACATGTTCGATTATCAAAAGATGTCATTAGCATAAGATGAATTTGTTTTTAATTATATAATATTTATATTAATTTAATATAGGAATAACAACAATTCCTTTAACTACTAAAGTAAGTCAGTTCGTGCATATTAATTTAATATATTAAAATATATAGTTATATGATATTTGCATGAAAATGAAGATTATAGCATCCAGTGGACTTAAACATATAATAATTCATTTAAGTGAAATAAAAATTTAGGATAGATAATAATCAATAAAAATATTTTAAAATATAAATCTTTTAAAAGAACCAGCTTCATATTCTATGTTGTTCTTTTTATTAAATTAAGAAAACATAAGATAATATTAATTAAATATAAATTATAGACACATAACTGCCTTTTAACTTGTAGAATTACAAAAGTTTGAAATAATTTTGAGTGTAGAAAATAAGAGACAGAAAAATCTTCATTATTAATAATAAATAAATAAGGATAATTTGTTTTGGAATTTATTTAACACTGCACTTTTCTTCCTAATGTATTTGAAAAATAATTTAGTTTAAAGAGATATATTTTTAAATTTGACAAAACTCCTTGTTATCTAAAAATAATTCCTACACCAATTTTATTTTGCCGCCCGCCCCGCCCGACCGCTTCAAGTAACGCGTTATTTTTTGCGTCTTTATCATTGTTGAACCAACAATTAAGTTGACTTTTTTTGAGTAAATATGAATTTTTTATATGGAATGTGATATTTACTTTTTTAAAAAATAATATCTATTTTTTAAAAAAAGAATGTGTTTAATAATGATTCATTAAGCTAATGGTGTTAACTGTTAAACTCATTTATATGGCTTCATCATTTTTTAACTCTATGACTTGATCAAATTTAAACATATATAATGCGTAAAAAAATATTGGCTAAATAAGATTAGCACAGCCCACATGTTGAAATTTAATTGGTGTGATATAAATATTAGGTTACAGGGCCACTATCGGAATCAAAACATTGAAAAATTGTGACTTTTTTTCTTTTCCAAATTTCATAATTATTTATTTATAAATAAAGAAGACTAACTCTTCTTCCCTTCTAGAAATATTGGAATCAACGCCGAAATGCCATTGCTAGAGACATTTTTTTTCTTCTTTTTTTAACTTAAAATCAGCAATTTTAAGAAGGAAACACAACCAAAATTAAATAAATTTAAAATGAGGAAAGACTAAGTTATATTTATTTAATTTTAAACACTTTAATAATATTTTATATTATTATATTATGGAAGAGATAATAACAGAAAAAAGATCA